TCCCTTTTATTTTTACCTAGCTCTCATTCAACTATCTTTTAGTCTGCTTAGGATTTTTCATTTTTCTTATGTGTTCTTCTTTGGTCAAACCACACATGAAGACATCTTGGAAGCTTTAACGATATGGAAACTAAGATGTTTTACTGCAGTTTTCTCTGTACATAACACAGAATAAGTAGACCCCTTACTCTTAGAAATATAAAATGTGCTGCATATGAAGATGTATTGACCACAAAGATGCAAATTAGAAAGAAAATGCTATCCATCTCTGCCACGAGACGTTAATTGGTTATCTATCAAAGCTAATTAAGTTTACCTTTTACATTATGACATAGTTTACCTGTTAGCCAAATTTATGTACAAGAGAAAGATGGATCTGGTGATGAAGCATGGAAATACATTTTCACAAAAGAAAGACATAGACTTGGGAAAGGAAAAAAAAACTTACAACCTCTTAGGCTAGTTGTTCACCTTGGACCAGATAAAATTGAAGGCAATATTAAACTGATAGTGTCTTCCCTCTGTTGGTTGTCATCCTCAACCTCGGGTAGGCTTGTGAAATCATAATCCAAGTTTGTTTCAACAGACACCAAACCTTCCAATGCCTTGACCACCAAAGACATGGAAGGCCTCTTGGTGAAATCTCCCTGTAGACACCACGCAGCAATGCTCATCATTTCTGTCACTGCTTCTTTGTGGATCTGCATATCCTCATTGTTTTTGTCAACAATATCCATAAGCTGCTGTTGTTCCGATTTTCTTTCGAAAACACTTAGCAAATGGACATCCTCATCAGCTTGGGACCGATCCAAATTCTTTCGACCACACAACAGCTCCAAGAGCACAATTCCAAAGGCATACACGTCTACTTTCTCAGTGATAACTGACCTCAACCATTCAGGAGCCAAATACCCTGGTGTTCCTCTCATCCTAGTTACAACTTTGCTTTCGTCTTTATCGATCAGTTTCGATAGCCCAAAATCAGATATCTTAGCATTGAAATTTTTATCTAGAAGGATATTTTGTGGTTTGATGTCCAAATGAATTATCTTCTGGCTGCATTCGTCATGAAGATAAGCTAATCCTTTGGCAATATCTGTTATAATCCTTTGCCTTGTATGCCATCTAAGCCCATTTTCTTCATTTTTATGATAAATCCACCTATCTAGTGATCCATTTACCATGTGTTCATAGATCAGAAGTCTTTGGGTCTTTTCAGCACAAAATCCAATGAGTTTTACCAGATTAATGTGATGAATGCCACCGACTATCTTTACTTCTGTTAAGAATGATTCCATCACATGACCTAGACCATCCAGACGCTTTACAGCTATTTTGGTGCCATTACTCAGTGTTCCTTCATATACTGAGCCAAATCCTCCTTCCCCGAGCTTTCTGCTGAAATCTTCAGTTATTATTCTTAGCTCATTGTAAGAGAACCGAGTTAGCATTCCCGGAAAGATTGGTTCGAGATCCAGAAAACCCCCATCCTTTCTGGAATCTTTTGTCCTCTTTTTAAAGATAACAAAGAAAGCTGTGATACTTAACATTATCCCAAAGAAAGCTGCAAGAGTAGATCCTATTATCACTATGTGAGGTCTTGATTTTTTTCCTCCAGAAATGGTTTTAGACTGATTCTGAGTGTTTGAGGAATTCTGCACCTTAAGAAATACTCTCTTGTCCATTCCGTCGTCGGTGTCTACGAGAGAAAAGACCTCATTCAGTAATAAACAGCTCCCAGTTGTAGCCCCATCCGAATCATATCTGAAGACAACAGCTTTGCAGGAACAGTTTCTCAGACAAGCCCCTTTGCAATCTTCCAACTTTTTCCCCTCAAACGGTAATATACCCGAAATTCGGTCATCACTGAACTCAAATGCAAAATATGTGGTATTCTTGAGCTCCACATAACTATGATACTGCGAAGAGTTGCAGTAAATGGAAGTCAGCTGTAAACATCCATCATCTATATTCCTCTCATCTAATGGCCTGAAGAAATTTCGCTCTGGCGGACATCTACATTTCCTATTACTTGTACAAATGCCATATCTTCCACACACCGTTGGGTACCCACAGTTCTCTGCATGTACATTAAACAAAACATCAGATATGACTTTCCAATTTAATGCATTCTCGTCCCATTGGTATACCCATAAATGTCCATCAGGCCCAAGCTTCATGAATTGAGCTGGTGATTTAGGAGGGCCTTGCTGAACAGTAAGTGTTTGACCATCAAAACTGAAATAAGTACTAGTATCCGGATTACTTGAAGCATAGTAAAACTGAGGTGGATCAGATTCGATGTAAGTGGCCCAGCTTCCATTGATAATAGTTAAAGAAAGCAAACTTTGACTCCAATTGGTTGCTGAGACGCTTGCTATGAGCTTCCTCCCAGAAACCAAGCTCTGCCCCGGGAGCAAAGAATCTGTAGGATGATCGAACGACTGCCAAACTGTGCGATTGGCTTTGTCAAAGAGCACGAGATTCCCCGTTTCTGTCATGTTTAAGCCAGAAACAGATTTTCCAGTAGTATTAGTGGACCAAACAAAAGTGCCATCAGAGTCTTCCAAGACCAAGTTGCCATCTTTTCCTAGTTGCAAGGTTGCATTGGCATTCACTGGACGGTCTCGATTAGCAGACCAAACCAACTGGGGATCCATGAATTTGTTGTCAGTAGAGGAGCTGTCCGGGAATGCAAAGAAGATCCCGAGAAGGCATTCAACACTTTGGCTATTGCAGTAGAAGCCACAGAAGTGGTATTTATTTCCATTTATTCCACTCAGAAGGATAGGTGTCAAGAGAGATAATCCATATGTGGATTGTGCATCAAACCAAAATGGCCTATTGGTCCATGAAGTGGAAAGTCCAGCAGTAGAATTCAAATAACTGCCATTTAGGTACCATGAAATCTGGGATGAAGCAAACCTGAATGAAAAAAACTGAAAATAAATGATGACCAGGACATGATGAAAATACAATCTCTGCTCTGCAATCATTTCTTACTAAAGCTAACAAAAGAAAATGTTTGAAATCTGCTTTGCTAGCAACTCCTCCTGTGTTCTAATAATGCCTTTCTTTTGGGAACGCGTCTCTTTGGTCAATACAAGAGAGCGGCCACACAACAAAACTTTCATTCCATGTGGTATTATTTTTTTACAAAAGTTTGTCTACTTTCAATCAGGAACGGAGCTAGAAGCACAGATACAAGTTCAATGATACCAAACTCAGTTGCTTTTGCTCAAACAATACATTCGTATAAACTAATTCATTATAAATATTATCATTACTCATATGATACTTTTCACAAGCATAAAGTGGTCATGATCTGGATATTCCCTTTTACACGTAAAGGCTGAATATGATATAATTATTTACAGTGGGAAATCACTTGTTTCCTTTTTAATATTTTAAAGCAAAGTGGGAATACAGACTAATGTCTTCCTTTTTCCTATTATTTTAATGGAGACTATAAACATTCCCTTTATTCTTACAAGTTCCAGGTTGCTTCTTTATTGCTATAAAATAATAAACTAAAAAAATGAGACCCTCATGAGCAGAAACTGCATTTTTTAAAATAACACCCCATTCATGTCTACAACCAATTGGAGCATGGATCGGGAGCCCAAATAAAAATGAACTGGATCAGAAGCTCAAACGAAAATAGACTTGACTCAGACACATAGTCTTAACTCAATTCCAAAAGCTACTTCTTGAGTGACGGGCAAAACCTGATATCAGGTTGCTCTTCCTCGTTAAAACCTTGCTCTGCCCCATTCCATTGTCATCCCTATCTGTACCAACAAGGAAAAGGAAGATATATATATATATATATATATATTCTAGTGCAACATGAGGTACGTCAACTTGGACTAGTTGGAGAATTCTGGAGGTAGAATACATATAATATATTTTAGAAAATTATGTATTTGAATTTTATTTCTATTTACTCTTGTTCAACTTTATTCAAGTTTAAGTGTCTCTTTGTGCACACCAAAGTTGGATGATATAAATGTGAAATGAGGTCAAGTTAAATGATACATTTATGTATTATGTATTATATAAATGACCCAAATATATCCTTTTGGTTTAACAGAAGTAGTGAAAAAAATAATTATAATTTACCTAAATGGGTCTGATATACCCCTTAACTTTTTCACACGTGAATTTTTTATTAGCTTTTTGATTAAAAAAAACAGAAAATCAAAAGAACAAACTAAAATAAAAATCGAAAAAAACGACTATATGTTGGTTTGATTTGATTTTTAGATTTAATAAATCTACATAATTGGTTTAGTTACTCCCTTCGTTCAACAATAGTTGTCTACTATACTATTTTTGGATGTCCAACAATACTTGTCCACTTTATGAAATCAATGGATAATTTTACACTTAGTTCCTAATTTACCCTTATCATTAATTATAGTCATTTCTTTATTACATTTTTCAAAACATTGTATTTATTATATTCAAAGGTAATATAGTAAAATTACTCTTGTATTTATAATTTCTTATAGTCATTTATCTATTACATTTTTCAAGAAATCCCTATTTAAGATTGTAAATTCAAAAAAAAATAAAAAATTATTGTTTTGTTAAGGGACAATCATATTAGGGAGTAAGTATCTATCAAATAAAATACTATTGCAAATCCATATCAATGGAAGCTTAAAATATATCCAAGCGAAGTTGCTTAACAGTTTAAGTCAACTTAAGTCATCACTCTGCATATATAAATGCAAGTTGTTGTAAATATATTTGCTTAACAGTTTAAGTCAAGAATATGTAGTAGGTTGTGGAAGCGCGAAGATATTTGTCCTGTACTCGAACAAAATTTGGTACGTAGTTGTAAACTTATGACTTTTTACATAATTTTCCTTTTCGCATCCACCTTTAATACTCTTGCTTATTAGGGCACTGACAAGATCGAAGGCATATCGCTGCCCCTGACTAATGAAGAAGAAGTTAATTTTGGTGGCAAGGCCTTCATGCAGATGACCAGTATGAGGTTTCTCAAATTCCGGAATGCATATGTTTGCCAGGGACCTGAATTTCTTCCTGATGAGTTGAGGTGGCTTGATTGGCATGGATATCCTTCCAAAAGTCTGCCTATTAGCTTTAAGGGAGACCAACTTGTTAGTTTGAAATTGAAAAAAAGGCGCATCATACAACTTTGGAAAACCTCAAAGGATCTAGGAAAACTGAAGTACATGAACCTTAGCCATTCACAGAAGCTAATAAGGATGCCAGATTTTTCAGTTATGCCTAATCTTGAGAGACTGGTTCTTGAAGAATGCACAAGTTTGGTAGAAATCAATTTTTCTATTGGAGATCTTGGAAAGCTAATCTTGCTGAATCTGAAGAACTGCAGAAATTTGAAGACCCTACCAAAGAGAATTCGATTGGAAAAGCTTGAAATTCTCGTTCTTTCAGGCTGCTCAAAGTTGAGAACATTCCCAGAAATAGAAGAGAAAATGAATCGTTTAGCAGAACTGTATTTGGGCGCGACTGCTTTGAGTGAACTACCTGCATCAGTTGAGAACCTTTCAGGAGTTGGTGTATTAAATATAAGTTACTGCAAGCATCTTGAGAGTCTACCTAGCAGTATTTCTAGGTTGAAATGTCTGAAAACATTTGATGTGTCCGGATGCTCAAAACTTAAAAATTTACCAGATGATTTGGGACTTTTAGTTGGTTTAGAGGAGCTCCACTGCACTCACACAGCCATCCAAACAATTCCGTCTTCTATATCTCTTCTTAAAAACCTTAAGCACTTATCTCTCCGTGGATGTAGTGCTTTGAGTTCACAAGTAAGTAGCTCAAGTCATGGCCAGAAGTCTATGGGTGTAAATTTTCAGAATTTGCCGGGTCTTTGTTCATTGATCATGTTGGATCTTAGTGACTGCAACATTTCAGATGGAGGCATTTTAAGTAATCTTGGGTTCTTACCATCTTTGGAGGGATTGATTCTCGATGGTAACAATTTTTCCAATAATCCGGCTGCAAGCATAAGTTGTCTCACTCGACTTAAAGCCCTTGCATTGGCTGGTTGTAGGAGGCTTGAGAGTTTACCGAAACTTCCTCCAGGTATAGAAAAGATATATGCTGATGAATGCACATCTTTGATGAGCATTGATCAGCTAACCAAATATCCAATGTTGCGTGGAGTTTCATTTACAAAATGTCATGAACTTGTAAAAAATAAATGGCATGCCTCTGTGGTTGATTCATTGTTGAAGCAGATGCTCAAGGTAAGTATGCTTCCAAGCCACAACTCTACTATACCCACATGAAAATATAAATGAGCTTCTTTTTATATAACTGGAAGGGCTTTTGTATTTGTACTCCAATTAGCTAAGGTCGCATATGAATCTAGGTAAATAACATTCTTTTCACGGTGCATGCAGAGACTATACATGAATGGCACATCTAGTATGTATTTTCCTGGTGTGGAGATTCCTGAGTGGTTTACATGCAAGAACTGGGGGACTAAATCAATCTCAGTGGCCCTGCCCCAAAATTGGTTCACACCCACATTCAGGGGGTTTACTGTTTGTGTTGTTTTTGACATGATGACTCCTTTCATTTTAGGGAAATTAATGTCGAATGATCCCTTCAGTTTTCGTACTGCCAAATGGCTAAAAAATTTCCAAGGACTTGTGATATGGTTAAGGTTCACAAGCCATGATGGTTTGCAGCACAAATTTCGGACATGCATCGGCTTAATAGGAAGTGAAAAACCTGTTGGTTTAGGTAATACTTTCCTAGCCCATGTACCACTTCCAAGTTCTTGGCCGTTCAAGGATGTTCTCGATAACAATCTTAATAACCTCATTCAGCTTGAGGTTGGTGTCTGTGATGATTTGCATAAGGATTTGGTGGTCAAAGGTTTGGGAGTGCGTCTTGTGTATGAGAATTGATGGCAAGAGAGAAAGAAATGATGCCAAAAGTTTGGTGTCTCCGGTGATTTTCATAAGATGAAATGCATATGAATCTGTTCAAAAACGTTATTATTAGTGGATTTTGTTCTTACAGTTTCATTTATTTGTTTCTTGTAATTTGCTTAATTATCAAAGGTGAAGCTGTTAAATCTGTTCAAAACGTCACTTCTTCTCTGTGGAGCTGCATATCCTCGTTGTTTTTGTGAACCATATCCATGAACTGCTCTTTTCTCCTAAAAACACTAAGCAAATGGACATCTTCTTCATCAGCATGTGACCAATCCAAATTCTCATTCGAGGAGTACACTGTCCTTCTCACCAACTTTTACAGATGTCACCCTTTAGGCTTAGAGGAAGGCTGTTCTTCCTTGGACTAGGTCCCAGCGTTTGTGAGAATCATCAAAACACTGAAATACTACATTTTCCCCTCCCTGTCCCTCAGCCACCATGTAAAAGGAAAACGTCACTTCTTCTCTGTGGAGCTGCATATCCTCGTTGTTTTTGTCAACCCTATCCATGAGCTGCTCTTTTCTCCTAAAAACATCTTCTTCATCAGCCTGTGACCAATCCAAATTCTTTCGCCCACGAAGAACTTCCTCCAAGAGCACAACTCCAAAGGCATATACATCTACTTTCTCATTGATCACCGACCTCAACCATTCAGGGGCTAAATAACCTGGTGTTCCTCTCATTCGAGTCACAACATGCTCTAATTTAGTAAAGAGTGTGCTGTCTCGAATGAAAATTATGTGGCGTATTTGAGCTCTACAAGACTATGGTACTGCAAAGAATCGCAGGAAATGGATGTCAGCTCCGTACATCCGAGATTTGTGTTTCTTAGGATAGATGGCCTAAAAAAGTTCCCTTCATCCAAGATTTGTGTTTCTTATGCTATATCTTCCACACACCATTGGATATCCACACTTCCCCACATGTGGCGACCAAATTTCTACTGGCTCTTTCCAATTAGATGTATTTACGTCCCATATGTATACCCATAAATGCCCTTCAGACTCAAACCTCATGAATTGAGCTGAGGTATCAGTGTCAGGGAAAGCAGTAAGGGTTTGACCCTCAAAACTGTAATAAATATCATAGGCATATAATTTTGAAGTATAGTAAAACTGAGGTGGGTCAGAATATATGTAAGTGCCCACGCCTTCATTGAGAACACTAAGAGAAAACAAACCTTGACTTTGATTGGTTACGGAGAAAGTTGCTGTGAGCTTCTGCCCAGAAACCAAACTCTGCCCCGGGAGCAAAGAATCTGTTGGATGATCGAAAGCTGCAAGGTTGGGCAGAGTTGCCATCTTGGCCTAGTTGCGACTACACATCTATACACTTCAACTTGGCTCAACTGACAACTAGACACTTCAACTCTTTCCCACTGTGTCTCGTGGACATCTTCAACGGCCCATTTTAACTTGAGACCAAGTTAAAGTGTCTATCAATATATTATGCCCATCTTAATTTGAGGGTCCAACTATTAAGTTTTTACCACTTAACTCATTGTATTTTAGAAAGTACAGGTTCAAAATACACCTACTATTCTTTTAAAAGTACCAAATTATTACATATATTTCATGTTAAAAATACTGGATTTAGTTGAACCGGGCATTTACAAAAGTCTATTAATTTTCCAAGTATTATTTTCTGTTCCTGTAACAATTAATTTGTAATTGTTGGGCACTTTCCTCCTCATTAAGGTTCAGGTCAAGTCTACATACCGCCACAGAAACATTGATCATGGGACCGGCTATTAATTATTGCTGGGCACTTTCCTCCTCATTGAGGTTCAGGTCAAGTCTTCTACTGAATGGGACCAGCAGTAAAATTCAAAATCCCTAATTGGGATGAGTAAAAAATAATTGGGACAGATAAAATGACGTAGATTGTTTAATTGAACAATACAGTATTTTAAAACCGAATATGTGGACTAGTTAGTGGTAAATAGCACTAATGGTCCAAATGTGTCACAACGGTAACATAAATATGCACAACCTTTAACGAGTGGCATGGTTGAGTCATTCTGATATTTCGATGACATATTTAAGCCCTCCTCTTTGTGCCCTACGATATTATCAAGGGTCCGCCTAGATATTTCCAACAAATTCTGACTTCTTTATGTGGTGAAAAAGTTACGGGGCCAGGCTCTATCTTTCCACTGATGGGACTTTCACTTAAAGGATCTTCAGTTTCTTAGAGAAAAGTTCTTTCCATCTTGGTGTAGGTTTATATTATTACACTATTATCAAACTCAACTTGATTCTTTAACAATTGTTATTGCATAGTGCCACGCCTTTAAAAAGTATTAAAAATATAAGAATTTTTAAAGAAAAAGAAGTAAATATTACAAGATCGTACATGAAGCTCGAAAAACTAATGCAAGTTACTGATTATTACATTTATGAAGTTACACTAGAATTGCCATAGTTCTCAAGCATATTGTTTACCTTGGTCCAGATAGAACTGAAGGCAGTATTGAACTGATAGGGACTTCCATCAGTTGGTTGCGCGCCCCAACCTCAGTTAGGTTTGTGAAATTGAAATCCAAGTTGGTTTCAACAGACACTAAACCTTCCAGCACCTTAACCACCACTGACATGGACGCCTCTTGTTGAAATCGCCTTGTAGACACCATGCTGAGAGGCTCATCATTTCTGTCACTTCTTCTCTGTGGAGCTGCATATCCTCGTTGTTTTTGTCAACCATATCCATGAGCTGCTCTTGTTCTGCTTTTCTCTTAAAAACACTAAGCAAATGGACATTATCTTCATCAGCCTGCGACCAATCCAAATTCTTTCGCCCACTGAGAACTTCCAAGAGCACAATTCCAAAAGCATATACGTCTACTTTCTCAGTGATCACCGACCTCAACCATTCAGGAGCTAAATACCCTGGTGTTCCTCTCATTCTAGTCACAACTTTGCTTTTGTCTTTCTCAATTAGTTTCGACAACCCAAAATCAGATATCTTAGCATTGAAATTTTGATCTAAGAGGATGTTGTGTGGTTTGATGTCCAAATGAATTATCTTATGGCTGCATTCATCATGAAGATAAGCTAATCCTTTTGCAATATCCGCTATTATCCTTTGCCTCATAAGCCATGTAAGCCCATTTTCTTGATTTTCATGAGAAATCCATCTATCCAATGATCCATTTACCATGTACTCATAGATCAGAACCCGGTGATCTTTTTCAGTACAAAAACCGACGAGTTTTACCAAATTGACATGGTGAATGCTACCAAGTATCTTTACTTCTGTTAAGAATGAATCCTTTACTTGACCTAAACCATTCAGACGCTTCACAGCTATTTTGTTGCCATTACTCAGTGTTCCTTCATATACTGAGCCAAATCCTCCTTCCCCGAGCTTTCTGCTGAAATCTTGTGTAATTATTTTCAACTCATTGTAAGAGAATCGAGTTAGGATTCCCGGTAAGATTGGTGCTAAATCCAGAAGATCCCTAGCCTTGACAGACAGTGTCCTAGATCTTTTTGAAAAGAACAAACCATGCACTAATACTTAAAATTATTCCCACTAAAGCAGCAAGAGCAGATGCTACAATCACTTTCAGAGGTCTTGATTGCTTTCTTTGAGAAACGATTGGCGGCTGATACTGAGCCTTTGCGAAATTCTGCACCTTCAGAAAAACTTTTGTCTTGTCACTACCAGGCCAGTTGTCCTTAAGAGAGAAAACTTCATTCAGCAATAAGCAGTTTTTTCTTAGAGTTTTAGACCAAACAGCATCTTTGCAGGAACAGTTACTCAAACAGGCCGCTTTGCAATTTTCCATCTTTGTTCCCTCAAGCCACATGTTTGAACTTGCATAAAAGTTGATCTCAAATGCAAAATATGTGGTGTCGCTGAGCTCTATAAGACTATGATAATGTGAAGAGTGTTATCTCCTGTATTCAGGTTAGTCAAAAATACAGAAACAGAAAAAAGATGAAATAGACAGAATGAATTTTTAATCTGAGTCCACAGAAATCACTGTGTTTCCTTAAGAAATTTAATCCCCTCACTGTACCCGAGGTTGCAAATTAATTCTTCCCAAGATAAAACGGATTAACCTGTTAAAGAAGTAGCGGTACCTCAAACTTCAATAACTTCAACGAACGCAAGAACAGCAACAAGAGCACACACAGACTCAGTCGATCGACAATTTTATTTATGCAAGAAAATGTATGCAGAGAGGAAAAATTTTCAGTGTTTGAAAAAACGAAAAAGATCTCTTATTAATAATCATATGCA